GGGCCTCTGCATTGTCGGGTTATGGCTTGCTGCGTTCATTTGACTTGAGTTCGAGGGCGGTGACTGATCGCCACGCTAGGTGCGCAATCTGACTCCCACTTTGCCAAATTAATACCTACGGGCCTTCTACTTCTACCTAGACGTTTACAAGGACCCAGAGTAGGCACTTTTTCTTTTTGTGAGGGTTTAGGTTCCCTTATAAGCCCCTTTAGGTTCCCTTATAAGCCCCTTTAGGTTCCCTTCGAAGCCCCTTGAAACCAAGAAGGGTACCCGTTTTTTTTCTTCCAAGGTTACAGGTTACTCTTGGGTCTAGACGAGCTCCATACCGGGCCCGAAGAGCTCTTCTTCTACTGGGCTGTGCTTTCGGGTATTTGTAGTTTCCCTTCTTTCCTCACAAGCGAACCTGCTCATAAATCATTCTCAAAGGGTTTATGGGTTAGGGTTAGGGTTTAGGGTTTAGGGTTTTATTGCACGACTCAGTATAAGTAGAGGTTTACGGGAGTCGAGCTCCGGTTTGAGGGCTTAGAATGGAAGCAGCAAACTGTCGCGGTCCCTTCGACTGCTGGGTTTCTTGCAGCAGAGCCTTGCACAAAGGACCCGATTTGTTGAGGGTTTCGGGTTTAGGCTTTATAGGGTTTATAGGGTTTATAGGGTTTATAGGGTTTATAGGGTTTATAGGGTTTATAGGGTTTATAGGGTTTATAGGGTTTATAGGGTTTATAGGGTTTACAGGGTTCATAGGGTTTATAGGGTTTAGGGTTCCGACACCTTAAAACCAAATCCTACACTCATGTCCATCTACATATCACGAAGCCAGGATCTTCGTTTGCAGCCGGATGGCAAGACACTGCGCATCTCCATTGCGGGCGACGGCAAGGAGGACTAGAGTCCTGTTCAGAAGCGAGTGGGCCACCGGTACAAATTTCTATACATATACAGTATACATATATTTGTGTACACATGTGTGTTTGCCATGATATTCATCAAAACCAATCCTTAAAGCCCTGCCATTTACCAGGTGGACATTGCGGGGGCGCATCAAGGTACCAGAAGGTTACAGCTTCGAAAGCTCAACAGAGCAGCTCTTCCACCACAGCCCTCTTGTATGGGTGTATAAACCCTTAACCCTAAGTACCCTAAAACTGTTTAGGATTTAGGATTTAGGGTTTAGGGTTTAGGGTTTAGGGTTTAGGGGGGAAAAACAACCCTCCCGCCGGTTTAGGGTTTAGGGTTTAGGGTTTGGGGCAAAGCCTTAACACCCAAGTGCTTAGGGTCGTTGTGGAGGAGCTGGTGCTGCGCACGGTCTCTGAGAGCATGGAGACCTGGGCCGTCGAAATCGGGTGCCGCAGTGACAGCTTGTCCCTCTGGTTGAGGGTTTAGGGTTTAGGGTTGAGGGTTCAGGTTCTTAGTAGGGAATGAGGGACTGAGGGCCCTACATAATACCTTAAACGGTATATATATATATAAACAAATAAATCAAATATAAATAAATAAATAAAAATACATAAATAAATAAATAAATATATATATATATATATATATATATTCAGGGCCCTCATTCCCTCATGCCCTACTAAGAACCAGCCAGCTTGTTGCGTTTTTGAGGGCAGCTGAGGGTTTGCTGCTTCGGGGTATAGGACCTTGAGGCCCTTGTGGGGTTGGTTTAGGGTTAGTGTTTAGGGTTTAGGGTTTAGGGTGTAGGGTTTAGGGTTGAGTTCTCCCGACGCTTCAGCATTAAACCTTGACCCGAAACGTCTCTGGCCGTGAGTCTGCTGCACACGATGGCTTTGCGTGCTGACCTCTGCTCGACCCCAAACCCAACTCTGCAAACCATAAGCTGCAGACATTGTGGTTGCCCAAGAAAGTGTTGCCTTTTGAGGTTTTCGAGTAGAACGCTTCTATTGCGTTTTAGGGTACTTCAGGCTTTTCCCCTGTTTTAGGGAAATGCTCATGGAAGCGTTCAGAAGATCTTTCACGCAGCTTCGGTGGAGGCGGCGACTGGAAAGGTTGAGCGCTTATGGTCACCAGCTCATGCCATGCCGCATTCTCAGCTACCCCGGTGCCTGCAGTCTCTTTGCCACCTTGGGGTTAAGTGAGTTCCGTAAACCCAACTAAACCCTATGCCTATACCCTATACCCTGAACCGTAAACTCTGGTTTATTATCCCAACATGGCTTAGGGTGCTTGGCGCAGGAACCATGAACGACTAGTGGCAGCCGAGCCCAAAGCCCCAAACTCGCCTACAGTTGGAGGCCGTTGCTGCATCCGGCCGTGTAGGTTTGGAGTTTCGGGTTTAGGGCCCAAAACGATGCGTTTTTGTCATTTGTGGGGGGGGGGGGAGGGGGTGTTGCTCACTATGAGCCCTAAAGTCCTACCCCCAACAACCCCCCACACCCTAAACACTAAACCCTGAACCCTTAGCCCTTAACCCTTAATTAACCCTTAACCCTTAACCCTCAACCCTTAACCCTTAACCCTACCTATATAAGTCCCGAAGCTCCTGGTATCCGAGGCGTGAACTTCGCCGAAGCGAAGCAGTGGTCCCAGGACCACTGTTCGGGCTTTGCGCTTCGGCTTGGCCCGGGAGATGTGAGTAGAATAATAGTGTGTTAAACAGGGGCTAGTTTTCGATTCCATATATAAGACATTATAAGACCCTTTACGTAAATAACTACATAATGTGTCAGAGAATTTATCAACGCTTGTAGCCAGGACTTGAGTTTAGACGTGTAGCTTCGGGCGCTCTAAAGTATCCCACTGATACTCCACCCAAACCCTCTAAATCCTCTAAAGCCGAAGACTAGTAAACTTTGGCTTCGGAGGAGCTGGACGCACAGACGGCCGAGCAGGAGGCAGAGCTGTGTGCGCAGGCACGCCGTTTTTGCTCCACCACCCAAACCATTTTAGTGCCGAAAGGCGTGTAAACCTAAACCTTAGATCCTCAACCCTAGACCGTATTCCCTGAACCCTAAACCGCCCTAAACCCCCAACCTTAGACCCTAGGCACCGCGAGGCCCACACCTGAACCCTAAAACCTACTTGGAGGTTCATAGGTACTTCAAAGTGAATTACGAGCACGAAGCCCTCACTTGAGGTACTTTGTGCTCCTACTTGTTTAAAGTATATAACCACCAATGGACCTTCAAGTATGACCCTAAACCCTGGCCTTTCTGTCCTTAGCCCTAAACCCTGAACCCTAAACCCTAAACCGCAAACCCTATTTAAACCCTAAACCCTCAACCCTAAACCCTAACCCTAAACCCTAACCCTAAACCCTAACCCTCAACCCTAATTAAACCCTAAACCCCAACCCTAAGCCCTGACGCTTTAAACCCGCAAGGTGGAAGAGCAGAGCCTCGGCCAGCGGCTGCAGGTACGGCGGGGTCTAGGGCCGAGGGTGTAAAAGGTTTAGGGTTTAGGGTTTAGGGTTGAGGGTTTAGGGTTTAGGGTTTAGGGTTTAGGGTTTAGGGTTTAGGGTTTAGGGTTTAGGGCTACTATTTGCATAAGGAGCCCTAAAAGATATGAGATGATAATCCCTGTATTACCCCTATGAGGAAGAATGTATTGCCCTTCGAAGGAAGAATGTACTACCCTTGTAAGACAGAATATTTCTGGTGTTCTTTGGGGGAGGGGGGGTTCTTCAGCAAATAGTAGAATGGTGTTTTGAGGTCCTCAGGGCGCCTAGATGTTTGTCTCCAGGTTTTCGCGGGGCTGGAAAAGCGTAAGGTTTAGGCCTCAGGGGCTGCCAGGGGTTTAAGATTTGGGTGCCTGGTTTAGGGTGTAGGGTGTAGGGCCTCATGCTGGATGCTGTGTCCCGAAGCCCTATCAGCGGCCGCAAAATCTCAACCCTGAACCCCAAAAACCTAAGCACTAAACCCAGAACAGACAGCAACATCCCTAAACCCTAAACCCTAAACCCTAAACCCTAAACCCTAAACCCTAAACCCCTTTAAGAACATTAAACAATCAAACCCAAAAGAGCCACCAGGCGGCTGCAGCCTTGTTGCGGTCATCCCTCTTACGCACCCAGAGCCGGGTCCGACTCTCGTGGTGGATTCTTGCTTAGGGGCTTAGGAGGTTTAGGGTTTAGGGTTTAGGGTTTAGGGTTTAGGGTCTAGGGTGTAGGGTTTAGGGTTTAGGGTGTAGGGTGTAGGGTGTAGGGTGTAGGGGTCAGGGTTGAAGGTTCAGGGTTTAGGGTTTCGGGCTTAGGGCGTCATGTCGGGGCCCATTTAACATGGAATATGGAGGTCTTCGAGTTGTGTAGTTTGTTTTTGTTATTCTTTCTCTTTTTTTTTTTTTTTGGGGGGGGGGGGGGGGTTAGGGGGGAAGTGTTAGCCATGGGGCTTCGGATTGTTTAGGTTTTTCAGGATGCTGGGTAGAAAGCTTATTCATGACTCTGGCGGTATTGGGGATGACGACGACGGGTTAAGATGGGTACGTCTTTCAGGCTACGGTGTGAGAAACAAGGGCTATAGGATTTAGGCTTGGGGGGGGGGCCTCAATTAAGCCTTGAATTTTAAGCCCGATTGAAACCTTTAGCTCCTTCGAAGGCTGCAGCACATTACCCTAAACCCTAAGCCCTAAACCGTTAAACCCTAAACCCTAAACCCTATATAGGGGGCGGGGGGAGAAGATGTCCGCATCTTACCTAAGTCTTTCGCCCGACGCAGAAGAAGTCTTCTGACTATAAAGGCGCCCTTAGGGCTTACAGGGCTTAAAAATTGGGGGGGGGCGGGGGGTAAAAGGGGTTTAGGGTTTAGGGCCCCACCTTGCAGGTTCCCAGAGAATTTGAGAACCCCACGAGTCCTTTGAATGTTAGAGGGTGTTGGGGCCGTTGGGGCCCGCTTCGGGAAGGGCATTTCGCCAAGTCTTCTTTCAATACGTTGGGAGGCTTTTGTTTTTGCCTTTGCGTTGGGTGTGCAGGAGGTTGTCAAGCCTATATATGGTAATTACGTTCTTTAAAGTATGGTACCTTTTGGGGTCCTCATCTCTTATCGACGGTAGCCCCTTTTTTTTCGAACTGACCATATAGCGTAGTGCGATATGCACCCGTTGCCGGACACCCAGGTCACGCGAGAAGCTTTCACCGAACTTGCACTTCATGCACGTCTGCAGGCAGGGGATCGCAAGAAACCTAAACTTTACGTAGTATTTCTAAACGCTTCCGAGAGTGGTGGTATTGGGAGGGGGGTTGCCTACAATGAGGGTTATAGCGACTTGAGGCGGGTATATTACCCAAAGCGTCCTTAGTACCTACATAGTAGAAAGCAGGGTTTGGGTCAGTGTCCCCCATATAGGTACTTAGGAACCTTTGGGTTACTTAGGGTTTAGGGTTTAGGGTTTAGGGTTTAGGGTTTAAAAGGTTTAGGGGATACTTGCGAGGCACTCCGCGGCCTCCAGCGTCGGGCTGCCACGGCTCGGCTGTGGCGAGCACTGCAGACACCGCGCCGGCGACACGTGGAGGGGTGCCGGAACCCTAAACCCTAAACCCCAAAACCCTAAACCCTAAACCCTAAACCCTAAACCCTAAACCCTAAACCCTAAACCCTAGACCCTAGACCCTAAACCCTAAACCCTAAACCCTAAACCTTCTAGGGTTTGGGGATCAGTCGGAGTTTAGGTCAGAGGGTAGTTTCATGGGCCCTTAATACGGTCCTTAACCTGGGTTCTCATGTATGGGCCCTTCATTTAAAAAGGTAATATAAGGGGTATACAAGGGGTCCCCTTTTAATGGCAATTTCCCTAAGATCAGGGGTTGGCGGTCAAGGTCTTTGGAATAGTGTAATGCTACACATTCACACGCCTCACGCTTTAGAGCTTCTCAGTTGACGGATGCAAGCAAGGTAGGCAGAAAGCAAGCCAAGGGAGGCACGCAAGGTCCTAAGGTGGAACGATGCGGAGGAAGCAAAGAAAGAACGCAGAGCAGCCAGCAAGGCAGAATGCCCCAACTTGTTCCTTGTTTGGAGGAAGTACAAGCAGTGGCTCGAGCATTTTCCCCCAAACCCTAAGCCCCAAACCCCAAACCCCAAACCCCAAACCCCAAACCCCAAACCATAAACCCCAACCCTAAACCCCAAACCCTAAACCCTAAACCCCAAACCTTAAACCCGAAACCCTAAACCCCAAACCCATCTCCAGATGCCTGGCGGCTTGGCGGAGTCTTGCGGGCTGCAGGGAGGCCTGATATGGGGGGGGAAGCCGGGGCCAAGAATGGGTTGCCTGAAGTGGGGCCTGGGTTTAGGGTTTAGGGTTTGGGGTTTAGGGTTTAGGGTTCGGGGTGTGGGTTTTGGGGTTTGGGGTTTTGGGGTTTTGGGTTTTGGGTTTTGGGTTTTGCGTTCTGGGGTACTTTCGAAGCAGATAGATGAAGGTACAGGTGTCCCTGATAGAACCAGCTGTTTGAATTCATAGATCAGTGAAGACCGCCAGTCACAGCTGCCGGCAAGTGGAGTAGAACCCCAATTCGCAAGTCCCAAGACCCATAAGGTATCTGACTCGTCTCAGTCTCAACCATCTCTCCAGCTCACACCCACATGGTGCCTTCTAAGCAAGCCAGGGCAAGGCACCGGCGAGAGGGCGTCGCCGACGATCCTCGCAGGAGCCGGGCATATGGTTCTCAAGCCCTAAAGCCATGGTAGCCCAGTACCTCTATTTCCCTCTTTTTTGGTTCCAGGTTCCCTTATAAAGTAACCAACCCCAAAAAAGGGTGCCCGTATGATAAGATGGCTACCGGGCTACCAAGAAGCCGATAAAGTGTTTCTTTGTCACCGTCAAGCTCTTGCCGCAGCGGTGCGGCCACTTACCATACTGGCTATATAAGAAGGGCCTCCGGGTCACATGGCCTAAGCCAACTCTACTTATTTGTTTAGTTCTTTAAATTAGTGTCGCTTTTGGGGGAATCCTATATTGGTACGGCACCCTCAAATAAGAAGGACCCCAACAGGGACCCTAGTTTAGAGAGCTACCCTTATTTCTATGTGCCGGGGGTGGAGGGGTGCACACTGAATCAGTGCAGGAGGACCTGCGTAAGGCCTCAACGATGTTGGAGCACATCTGTCGCCCCTTGGCCGCACACTTCCCTGTGACAAAACGCAAGTAAACCTCTAAATTTTATATGTGCCCTAAACCCTCAATACGCCCATGCGCCCTCAACACTTTGGAAAAACAAAAACACATTCAAAACCCTAAATACCCTAAACCCCATTCACCCCTCCCCCCTTTCTTGAGTTCAGAGACGCATGATTAGGATGCCCCTCTAACCCGTACAGAAGTGTACAGAAACCCTAAGCCCGAAACTCTAAACCTTAAACTAATCCATAAGCCCTTTAAACCCTAAACCCTAAACCCAAAATAAACGGTTTCATTCATTTGACTTCCCCAGCTCGTGAGGCGAGCACCAGGAAGAGGCTATGCACAGCTTCTTCCTGCAGTGCGGCCGCCTGAAGACTGCGTCTCTGCGAGAGGCAAGAGCCTGCTGGGTTTAGGGTTCAGGGTTTAGGGTTTAGGGTTTGGGGTTTGGGGTTTGGGGTTTGGGGTTTAGGGTTTAGGGTTTCCGGTTTTTTGCTTCAGATTCAGCGGGCTGAGGTCTGGTGCCCTGAACTCCTAGCCCCCGAAACCCTTCAAATCCCTAAACCCTAAACCCTAAACCCTAAACCCTAAACCCTAAACCCCTCCAAATCCCTCAATCCTTCACGCTCCTTCCGCGCAGGAGAGGCGGGCGGCTGCAGAGCTCAAAGATGCCGCCGCCTTCTACGAAGGTGGGGTTTAGGGTTTAGGGTTTAGGGTTTAGGGTTTAGGGTTTAGGGTTTCGGGTTTCGGGTTTATAGAATTTAGGGTTTAGATTTGGGGGCTAAGGTCTTCAGGTTTGTACTTTCGAGCTGTTTAGTGCCAGAGTAGGGTGCGCTTAAACCCTTTTATTCTCCCTATGCAATTCCAAAGGTTAACCTTTAGTTTCCCTTGAACTTTAGAGCGAAGGCTTTTTAAGGTTGATCTTGACAGGTCGTGGGCTTCGGGGCTTTTTGGCACGGGGTTTGAGTGCTGTGTAGGCGTTTGCACTTTTTAGTGGGCTTGCGGTGAGACTTAATATGGATGCATGCTTAGGCATCTGTTCCGAGGGTTTGCTTCACAAGGCTGCTTCAGGCAAGGAACATGAGAGTCCTGGCAGGGCAATCGCCAATGTGTCGTGTGCTTACTGACTTGGTCAACAGATGAACCTTCAACTTGTGGGGTTTCTTTGTTTCGTAGGTTTAGGGTTCTGTTTAGGGTTTAGGGTTTAGGGTCTGGGGTTGATTTTTATTGCGGTTGAACCTCTTTGCTTCCTTGGCAACCCTAAGGCCTAAAGCGCTCTTTGTGCATGCCCAGGGATATGCACATGGTTGAGATGGCACCCAGCCGGTTTCTTCTTAGGGCGCCCAAGTGATCACTTACCCAATGCCGAAGGCCAAAATCCCGAAACTCCCAAGCCGCCACAAAACGCCCTGGGCCCCCAAAAGTCCCAAACCCAAGCCCCCGAACTCTCTCAACCCCTTGTAAGCCCTGGAACCCCCAACTCTACCAAGCCCTGAACAGTAAACCTTTCCTACATTACCCTGAACCCTGCACCTTAAATCCCATCTAAACCCTAAACCTACATTACCCTCAAAACAAGCCACTTCAACCCTAAACCCTAAGCCCAAACCCTAAACCCAAACCCCAAACCCCAAACCCCAAACCCTAAACCCTAACCCTAAACCCTAAACCCCATGCCCCCACCTTTGAAAAGGCGCGCGCCAGCTCGACACCGCGGCGCGGCGCCGCACCGCGGCGCGGCTCCTGGCGCTGGCGCTGAAGAAGCGCAGTGCCCGGGGCGGCCTTTGGCGGATGTCGGGGTTCTTTGGGGGGGGGGGGGGGGGGCTTATGGAGGTTTAGGGTGTATAGGATTTAGGGTTTAGTTGTTTTTTTTTGGTGGGAGTTTGAATTTCATGAGGGCTTTCGGGGCTTCTGGTTGAAAATCTCAGAGGGCGGGATTAGGATTAGGACACTGTCGGGATTTGTGAGTGTTGGGCTGGGGCGGCCCAGATGGCACAATAATGGGATGTACCATGTGCTGGGGTTTACATACTCTAAGTACGTGTTTCATTACCCTAAGGGTCCGTGCACCTGACTTCTAAGTGGATGATGTCGCATTACTGCTGCGCACTGTCCTCCAGTCTCCGTCTGAAATTTAAATCCTACGTAAACACCATCAGCCTCGTGAAATGCCAAAAAACCCTATGAACCCAATCAGCCCCAGAAGCCCCGAAAGCCCCAAACCTTAAACCAACCCAAACCCCGAGATCACAGACCCTAAGCCCTAAACCTATACAAACCCTCAACCAACCTGGACCATGAACCTTGTAGAACCCCCAGGCCAGCTACAGCTTTCCCACGCCATATGCAGCTGGTCCAAGGTGGGGCGGAGCTGGGTGTGTTTGAACGTATCTCGCTAAGTTTAGGGTTTGGGGTTCAGGGTTTATGGTTTAGGGTTAGGGTTTAGGGTTTAGGGTCTAGGGTTTAGGTTTTAGGGTTGTGAGGGGTCGAGTCGCGCCGGTTCCAGAATATTAGGCCAAGAGGGCAAGGAAGATGCCAGTTGGGAGAAAGAGGACCTCCTCAAACCCTTCAAGAGTAAGCCTCTAGACCCCTAAACCTTAAACCCTAAACCTTGGGATGTTCCCCCTTGTACTAACAGTCCTGAACTTGGATTATAATCGGGGTACTAGAATCCCTGTTAAGGACTGTTAGTATATGGAGGAACATCCCAACCTAAACTCTAAACCCATCGGGACTGTTTTTAAGATCCTTAAGGTAGAGAAGGGCAATGTTAGGAGAGAAGGGAACCTCTAGGGGTACAACCTTAGGGGTACGAGTCTGACTCCCTTGAACCTCAGTTCGGAACCGTGGGCCCTTAGTATGGTCCCTTGCCCTTGTTTTTATAGGGACCCGAAGTATGGGCCCTTATTATGTGTAGTGTATATGAGGGTTCCTTAACAGGGGACTGACAAGAGCAGCAAAGCGCGAGTCATAGCAGCCAGAAGCCATCGTCACAGCCAAAAACGTTCGGCATGAAATCCGCCACTCAATCCAAACACAACTGGCATCAATCTCCCTAAGTGCCTCAAACCCTAAACCCCTCTTTTTGCTGCCCCTGTCTTGTTTGTCCGTAGGCACCTTAGACCCTAAACCCGAAACCCTAAACCCTAAACCCTGAACCCCGAAGGCAAAATAATTCAGGCCCACTCTGGTTGGGAGGTTTGAGGTTCGTGTGCCCCATTCCTTGGAGGGTTTACCCTAAACCCTAACCCTAAACCCTAAACCCTAAACCCTAAACCCTAAACCCTAAACCCTAAACCCTAAACCCTAACTCCCCCTTCGAGCCCTTTCGACCCCTGGGGCCTTCCCTCTGGGCCTTAATACCTTAACACCTAAGGCCCTCAGGGTTTTGTCGGCCGTCGGCCGCCCTCAACCCTAAATTTAAGAGCCTCCGGCTCAAGCCGCCGATGCCGCTGGAGCATAGTTGAAAGGTTTAAACGCGTTCGTTAGGTCAAAGGATGCCAAAGGGGGGTAGGGGGGGGGGTGGGTGGTAGGGGGGGGGTGGGGGGGGGGGGTGGGGGTAGGGGGGGGTAGGGCAGGGGGGGGGTAGGGGGGGGGGGTAGGGGGGGGGGTCAAGGGGGAGTAGGGGGGTAGGGAGGGTCAGGCAGGGGTTGTCCTGTGCGAAACCGCCTACGGTCCGTGAGTTTATGCCGTGTGGGTGGCCTGGCCCTTCATGGAAAAGCTGCCCAAAAACCCCCCCCTGACCCCCCCCGCGCGTTTTGGGGGGTGAGAGGGATTTCACCTCCTTTTCCCACCCAACGCGCCGCCAGCGTCGGCACCCCTAAACCCCTAAACCCCTAAACCCTAAACCCCTAAACCCTAAACCCCTAAACCCCTAAACCCCTAAACCCCTAAACCCCTATACCCCTATACCCCTATACCCCTATACCCTTAACCCCCAAACCCCCAAACCCCCAAACCCCCAAACCCCCAAACCCCCAAACCCCCAAACCCCCAACCCCTAAACCCCTGAACCCTAAACCCCCAAACCCCTAAAGCCCTTTTTCGCCGGAGGCCTCGGCCTCGACTTTAGCGGCCGAGGCCGACGTACTGCGCTCCCGGGCTGAGCCGCTCTCTTGGACAGGGTTATTTGCTACTTGCTTAGGAACCACCCAACCCCCCCCCACCCCCCACCCCCCCCCCGAAAAGATAGGTAGGTGTATATATATATACAACAATAATAATAATATTATTAGTCATAATAAGCATAATAACAATAATGATAATATTAATAATACCAATAAAATAATAGGCATAAGAAGAATAATAACTTAATAAGAATAATAATAGTAGTAGTACTAGTAATAATAATAAGAATAACATATCTTCCTTATAAGGGTACTGCGAGGATTATTATCTTCTGTTTGGGGCGGGGGGTTCTTAAGCAAATAGTAGGTTTGGTTCACGTTCAAGTTGGCTTGCCGTGTGGGTTGAGGCATTTGAGGCTCGGGACCACATAAGCAACAATCAGGAATTAGGTACTTAAGACTGCCACATAGGGGGTGTGGAGCAAGAACCTTCAAAAATCGCAGGTTAGGGGGGCTTGGTGGATGTTCTGAACCTGGCCCTTGTTGTAGCCTCCTCCTTTCCCAGGGAAGTCAACCTCGAGCTTTCCGACCATTGCATGAAGGCTGCAGTGGGGATCCCAGACCCTTGACAGCTTCCGCTTGTTGAGTTGAAGGTCTTGGGGTTTGGGCGTTTAGGGTCTAGGGTTTAGGGTTTAGGGTTGCTACGAAAGCTCCTGCAACCTTGGCCGTGGGTGGCCCTAGGTGTAGCCAGACTTTTGGGGTAGAGAGGGAGGGGCGTCGGGGCGCCCTAAGTGTAAAGTAAGCTTATTGGGGCACGCAGTTGAGTTGAGTATTGGATTTGTAACTTCGGTTACTCTGCAGCGCCCTTGAAAACTCAAGATTCCAGCCACTGGAGGGAATATGTTGCTCTTACTGGTAAGAGCATATAGTGTTGCTTCAAAATCCCTTAGGGTGGTGATACTTGCAAGGAACCCTACTTCATATAGATTCAGTTCCTTACATGTAGACGGCCCCCCCCCCCCCCCCCCCCTGCATGGGCCGAGGCCAAGTCTGCGAACCTGCAAAATCCCAAGCCTCACAGCGTTCCCTCGACCCGAAGCCTGAGGGCAAACCCTAAACCCTAAACCCTAAACCCTAAACCCTAAATTAGGGGCTCGGGCCAAGTTCAGGGCTTCAGGGTTTAGGGTTGACCCGATACTTAAAACCCTAAACCCCAGCTCCAGAGCTTCAGTGCCCGGCGAGGTCAACGCAAGAGTTGCGAGCCTCGTGCTGGGGACCCAGAGCTTCAGCCAGAGCGTGAGCTCCCAAATCACAAGGAAGCTAACCCCATGCTTCCCGCGTTTACGGCTTATGGTTTAGGACTTAGGGTGCGGGGTTTAGGGTTTAGGGACCCAAGAATTAGGCTACGTGAGCCCTGAAGTACACCAGAGTTAGGTCCCTGGAGGTATAAGGGTCAACCGAGGGTTGACCATCAATGTTTAGAGTTCAGGGTTTAGGGTTTAGGGTTTGGGTTTTAGGGTTTAGGGTTTAGGGTTTGGGTTTTAGGGTTTAGGGTTTAGGGTTTAGGGTTTAGGGTTTAGGGTTTAGGGTTTAGGGTTTAGGGTTTAGGGTTTAGGGTTTAGGGTTTAGGGTTTAGGGTTTAGGGTTTAGGGTTTAGGGTTTAGGGTACACACGTCATCCCCTGCCCCTCTCAGTAAGAAGTTCTGTCGGAATCCAGTAGCCTCTACTTGACGGTTCATGGTACTTAGTAGCCCAAGTATACCTGTGCTTATAGGGTATAGGGTTTAGGGTTTAGGGTTTAGGGTTAAAGCCCAATTCTAACCCTATTAGGGTACTTCAGGGGCTTACATGTGGGGTTATAACGCTTATAACCAAGTAGGGCATCAACCCTTCTGCTTCCTGAAACTATAGTGTGCTTACGGGCTCTAGTTACCTAATTTTTAGGCCGCCTGAAACTCACCCTAGAGCGCGTATGAACTCTGAACCCTAGAAATCCTAAACCCTGTATCAGCCCTAAAGAACCCGTAAACCCTACCGACTAGAATTCCCAACACCTTTTCTAAGTATTGTGTACGTCGGGCGTTGTAGCAAATGCTAGGTCCCTTATGAAGTATGTACGGTAAGGTACCGAATTCCCTATTTATACCCTAACCCCTTAACCCTAAGCCCTAAACCCCAAACCCTAGACCCCAAACCCTAGACCCTAAACCCACCTTCCCTCTGCCCAGCCTGGCCTTGGCGGAAGCGCGGCGGCGGCGATTGCTTTGGGCGCGCCTGCGCTGGGCGCAAGGTGGGACCTGTGAGGGGCTTGAGGAGGCTTAGGGCCTCTTGTAGGGTTTAGGGTTTAAGGTTTAGGGTTTAGGGTTTAGGGTTCAGGGTTTAGGGTTTAGGGCTTAGGGTTTAGGGTTTAGGGTTTAGGGTTTAGGGCCTTGTGGATTTGCTGTTGAAGATGCTTGGACTGCTGAGGCACAGGCTTCTCGCGTGTAGAGGTCAAAGCTCTTCAAGTTTAATGTGATGGCTCAGCTTGCAAGCCCTGCGTCTGAGAGAGCATCTCTTGCAGTAGGTGCCGTCGAATCCAGAAACCTTAAGCCCTTTTCATACCCGAAATGGTGCGTTAACGTGCACACAATCACAAGGCCCCAAACCCCAAACCCCAAACCCCAAACCCTAAACCCTACACCCAACACCCTAGACCCTAAACCCCAACACCCTAAACCCTAAACCCTAAACCCTAAACCCTAAACCCTAAACCCTAAACCCTAAACCCTAAACCCTAAACCCTAAACCCTAAACCCTAAACCCTAAACCTCAACGGCAGGATTCCGAATGGCGGCACTCAAGAGTCCCAATTCCCCGTCAGAGTGAGGCGCCGCTGCCTCGCGGCAAGTCTTTGCCCCACCGCCGCGGTGAGGCCGAAGAGAAGAGGGTTTAGGGTTTAGGGTTTAGGGTTTAGGGTTTATAGTTTATAGGGTTTAGGGTTTAGGGTCTCAGGGGTAAGAAATCCTCCTTGTTGCGACGCATCACTTTGCTGAGACCGCTGTTGCCCCTCGCAGAAGGAAGAGCCTTCACCAGACAGCCCAGTACCATGGCTATTGTTCAGCAAGACTTCTCTGCCATGTCTGGCGCCTGGAGGGCATGCTTCGGCAAGGACGGCAATTTCACAAACCCTAAACCCTAAACCCTAAACCCTAAACCCTAAACCCTAAACCCTAAACCCTAAACCCTAAACCCTAAACCATCATCGTGGAGCCTTGCGAAGAGGACGCTGCGGCCTGGATGTGTCCGGAGCGCAAGGAGTTCAAGGTCTGAAGTTCCCTGCTGTCCCACTGGTCCCCTGTCTTCGAGAGGATGGTCCATTCCGATAACTTTTCGGAATCACAGCAGGCAAAGCTGGTAATCCAAGACTTTTCGGCCGATGCCGTCGAGGTCTTCTTGCGCTGCTTGTACTGCGTAGTTTTTGGAGGGCTCACCGGGCATTCTCGTGGAGATGGCTGCCATGGCAGACAAGTACCAGACCCATGAGCTGTACTCCCTGTGCATGAAAGCCGTCAGTGGGGAAGCACTCCGACCAGAGATCGCGTGTGAGGTCTTTGCGTCAGCAGACCGCTTCATGTCGATGGCCGACTTGCGCAGGAAAGCCTTGGAGATGATTTTGATCCATCCCGGCGCGGCCTTGAAGACACGTCCGAAGCTGAGACCCGAGCTCTTGAAGGAGATCCTACACTCCCGCTTGTTGTGCATACCATCCGACGCCCTGAGCAAAATCCTCCGAGAATGGGGTGAGCAGGATGGAGACCTGTTACAGCCAATCGTCGAAGCCCAACTTGCAGAGAAGAAAAAAACAACCCACTGCCAAGCACTCCACTGATGCTTTGCAGACGGTGGGTTTAGGGTTTAGGGTTATAGGGTTTAGGGTTTAGGGTTTCGGTGTGGGAGGCCTATGAGCGTCAAGGCAAGAAGGGCGCCTTCCTTTGCCACTGGGTGTCATTGAAGCTTGGGCTCACTGGGTCCGATCAGCAGGCGATGGGCCTGGAGCAGGTGGACCGCCTCATGCTCCTAGCACGAGGCCAGTTTGTGCATTTGGGGCCAGGCTCGGTGACATGGGAACTTGGGCTGTGTGAGCTGTACCTGATGGGCTTCTCCTGTAGCTGCAGTATCTCCGGCACCATATGGTTTCGGATCCTTTGTTCAGATCGTCCAGACGGGGCTTGGCATGGTGCTTACCAGTCCATCGGCCAGGAAATCCCGGCGGAGACCTTCCTGGCCTGTAGCATCCGGCCTCTCGCACTGGTGAAGTACATCAAGCTGGAAGTGCTGAGTGGAACAATAGGTCTGGACCCGTTCCCAGGAATCCGATGCCTACGGTTCAAAATCCATGGCATCCTGGCTCAGGCACCAAATCTCTTGAATGCTTGATGCCTCCGGGTTTTGTCCGTGCTTGAGGAACAAGTGGCCACCTGACCATGTCCGTGCTTCTGCAAAGACATTAAGCCACTGCCCCAAACGTCCTAGACCTCGAATCCCACTTAATCCCTTCCCCCTTTCATTAAACGCCCCTCCTAATTGTAAAAACACTTTCCGGAAATCCTGCCGAAACCGATCCCGCCTTTTAAACCCTATTCCGAATTAAGGGCTCCCAAAACCCTCAAGCCAACCAACATCCTGAAGCTCCCTTCCCTCCGTTCCCTCCCGGCCCTCCCTTCCCTCCCAGTCCCCTCTAAAGCCTGAAGCCTACACCCTAAACCCTTTGGACCCCAAACATGACATTTGGATGAACACCTCCCCCGAGTAAAAAACAAAACACATTTCGAGTTTCTATTGGGGAGGGGGGGGGGGGGTTAAATTAGGGGGAAGGGATTAAACCGCACGTTGGGGCTCGAGGGTTTCCCTAAATCAGGGTCCCTTCGAGGTGCTTGTGAGATAACAGGCCCAATTCTAACTTGTTACATCTAGAATCTAGGTAAAGACTCAAATTCGTATCCAAGCCCGAGTGCGCCGGGATCAGTTGACTAGTTCTTGAGAGAAGTAAGGAATTCGGTAATATAAATAACATAAACGCATGTATGCGTCTATATATATATCCCTATTGAAGCCTTTAACATGAATTGGTCTTATACAGTTAGAAGTTCAAGGATTCCTCTTTCTGGGTTTCTTTTCCCAGTGGGGCACCCATTGGTCCATGCCCTTAAGGTACCTGTAAAGCAAGGTTTCGGGTTTAGGGTTTAGGGTTGAGGGAACCCCAATACACTGCCAGGCGGCCCCCACCGCAAAGCTCGGTGGCGCCGAGGCGGATGGCGCGTGCACCACGCGCCGCGAAAAAGCGGCGACTGCAGCAATCCATCACAGCACGGCCGAAGTTCGTGACACTTTTCCCTCAGCCCTCAACCCGAAGCTCTCAACCCCATAAAGCCGTAAACCCGAAACCCTACTGCACAGGGTCTAGTGCCCAAAGGCGGGAGGCCAAGTTCCCCCTATGCCATGAACTCGCGACCTTCGGTTTGTTTGTGCCGGGGGGGGGGGGGGACCCTAAACCCTAAACCCTAAACCCTAAACCCTAAACCCCTAAACCCTAAACCCGAAACCCTCTTCATAAGCTCAGACAAGAGAGCGTGTGTTTAGGGTTTGTTTTCCGGTTTAGGGCTTTGAGGCAGCGAGAAGAGCACCGCTGAGAAGCTGGCCGATGTCCTGCAGGCCTGTCCAGAGGTTCGAAGTTCCCCGTAGTGGCCGTAAGCACTAAAACCCTAAAATTCTCAACGCCCGCTCTACCTCAAACTGAAGCCCTAAACACTGAAAACCCTACCTGAAGCCCCAGCCCCAGTGACCTGAGGTTTGTCACCTTGGTGACCTGAACCCTAGACCCTAGACCCTAAACCCTAAACCCTAAACTCTACGCCCTAAACCCCAAACCCCAAACCCTAAACCCCAACCCGAAACCCTACATCCTAAAGGCCCCTTCCCAGCCCTTTTTTCGCAGGACAGCCTCTCCACACACGTTCCGGCGATTGGGGAGCCTGCAGCCGCAACTGCCGCGAACCTCAGACATGTCGTTTGAGGCTATTAAGTGCTTTGGGCGGTTAGGGTGTTTAGGGTTTAGGGTTTAGGGTTGCGAGTGTAGAGCTTAAGGGGTTTGAGGTCTCAAGGCGTTGGGGTTTGAAGGGGTTTCGGCTGTAGGGTTTAGGGTAGATTTGGGCTTTTGGGGCATGAGGGGTGCTAAGGTTTGTAGGTTCAAGGTTCAAGCTCCCTTCAGGAGTAAAACCCTTCAGTGAGGAGGTTTCTGCGCTTCTCACCTAACAAGCGCCCAATTAAAACCGGCTGATAACTAGGGGGCCGTTTACACTGCAGCCACCCCGGAGCTCAAGCTGTGCCCTTTGTCACGGCCTGTCTTCTTAACGTAACAGTGCCACCCAGCCCAGAGGGTGAAAGGGGTTTAGGGTTGATAGGGTTTGGGATGCACATGTTAACATGAGACTCTACCTTGGACCCCCAAGGTTGTACCCTTGCGTTTTTTGGGTGGCCCTTTTTAAGGGAAAATGAGACCCAGATGAGGAGCATATGAAGGAATCTCCTGTAGGGGTAGATCCTTAGGGGTACGAGTCTTAGTCCCGTGACATCTTGCCCCCCCCCCGCCCCCAAATCGCAGGATTCCCTTTTAAGGGCCCCAACCATGTACCCCTAATAATTTCGTAAACCCCCCTTTGGGTGATGCTTAGGTGCTTTTGGCCGCATTCTTTGGCCGGTCGCTTGCGCCGCGAGCAGGAGGCCACCACACCCTCTCATGACCCTTAAAACCCTAATCCTTGAACCCTAAACCCTGAACCCCCCAAAAAATCCTAAACCCTAAACCCTAAACCCGAAACCCTAAACCCTAAACCCTAAACCCTAAACCCTAAACCCTAAACCCTAAACCCTAAACCCTAAACCTCGACCCCTAAACCCGAAACCCGATCTTCAGAACCCGCAAGCCTCTTGAAAGATGCTGGCAGCAGGTTGTGAGGCAAGCAAGCCCCTTACAGACCTCCTAGCTACCCTGGAACAAGGTAGTTTCTGGGCTCTTAAGGTAAGACCCGAAGCCCCTGAACCCTCAAGGCCTAAAAGCCCCTGCACCCTACAACCATACCATACTCCAAACCACTGCAGCCCTAAAACACACTGCAACCCGAATGCCCTGAAGCTCTGATCCCCAAACGTCCTAAAGCCCTCAAAACCCTTGGAGCCTAAATCCCCGGGAGAACGCAAAGTCCTAAAACCCCCAAACCCTGGTTTAGAGTTTAGAGTTTAGGGTTTAGGGTTTAGGGTTTGGGGCAAAACCCTGTAGAGTCGATGCAGAGACCCGGATCGAAGGTGGCGCTGCCTCCAAGCTCCCTGTGGCGGCCTCATGAAGCTGCCTCTCTGTGGGTTTAGGGTTTACTGTAGGGTTTAGGGTTTAGGGTTTAGGGTTTGGGGTTTAGGGTTTCGGGTTTAGGGTTTAGGGTTTAGTGTTATTGGGGGGTTTATGGTTGAGGAATCCTCTAGTTCCATGAAGGCTGCCTCCTTGGAAACCAAAATGTGGGCTTTTGGTGGGATTCGGGTTTTAGGGTTTGTGGGGTTTGGGGTTTAGGGGCTAGGGGTTTGGGGGTTTGCGGTCTAGGGTTCCTCTTGGAAGTCCCATGAGAACACGAAAGAGTGGCCGTTCTACTACACATGCGCTTCAGCGCATGAATAGTATCGGAAACGGGGGATGACAACGGACCACCGAGTCCCGGAACTATTTGACATCATTAAGGATTGCACCGGGACAGCAGGTCCCCCCGCCCCCGACCACCTTGCCTCATGGACTGCTTTTTTTTGGTGATTGAACAACCCTAACCCTAAACCCTAAACCCTAACCCTAAACCTTCAAGTTCAAAATATCCAAGTCGCCAGACACAAGGCATTTCATTGCCAAGCATTTATTCCGTTCCTTCAGGACAGGCACGAATGAGTCAACCACTCATGAGTTGCTTCGCGCAGCTTATGGAAGACTCCTGCGGTCCTGCTGTTCAACAAAAGGGTTTAGGGTTTTGGGGATGGCGCGTAGGTTTCGGGGGCTTCAGGCGCTTTATTTCAGGCGTGCACGCCGCCGAAACTTAAAGTTCTCACCAGGCCACCAGGTCTTTAAGTCTCATCCGGTTATTGGGTGAAGAAGATGCCTGAAGTTAGGGACTTCCTGGATGGCGGGGTCGAGCACTTGAAACCTCTGCTGTAGGTCACCGTGTCGGCTGCTCATTTCATGCACATTTGCTGTCGAGTTTCTTGAATCCAGCGCATGGAAGCACCGAAGAGCGCCTCAAGCTGTCTCCACACGAACAGCGAAAACAGTCTGAGAATGCGTTGAGCATCTTTTGAGATGGTTCTTAAGGGAGGGGGAGCGGGGGAAGCTTAGGGAACCGTAGGGAGTAGTGGGGTTACATTCCCCCTGTTGAGAACCCCCCTTCCTTAAGAACCCTATACTTGGAGGTTCATTGTACCTGTGAACCAATTCTAACTGTACTTATAACTATACTGATAACCATATTAGGGCACGTAAGAGGCCTACAAGTGAGTGGGTTATAAGTATATTTGGTTAATTAATAAGTACAATGAACCTCCAAGTATAGGGTTCTTAAGGGATGGGATCAAGGAGGGGCATGTAACCCAAGGTTCCACTCCCTACTACTCCCTAAGGCTCCCCAAGCTTCCCTAATGTTCCCTAGGTACCCCTGAGGTCCATTCACCCATTGTTGGAGTCCACAAACCTTGTAAACCCTAGATTATTCCCAAACTCCATACTTCGAGCCCTAAACCCGAAACCATAAATGCTTGAGGCGGCCGCTCTAGCGCAGCTACCCAAAATGGGTGCTCCAATAGCGA